TTCATAAAATCACTGAACAAGATCTCATTCCATATACTCTGGATTTTTGTAGCCTGACAGTATAGGCAGAGCTCCCTGTGTGAGTGAGTGTGTGCAGACACACCTAACACAGAGACCACCACCCCTTTCAGGTGCCCCTTCAGCATCCCTTCATTTCTCTTCAGTTCTAATCTTTCCTTCTGTTAATGATTCCTCCCATACAGATATTTGTAAAATGCCTGGAAAGAGCCTGGCCCATGGTAAACCTATGCACGTTTTGTTATTGTTAAATGCCATGGGGTTGGTTTCAAGTCATAGTGACCCTGGATAGGGTTTCCAAGAAGTGACTGGTGAGTTTGAACTGTCAACCTTGCTATTCAAACTGCCCTTGCAGTTGAGTGCTTATTCTATAGAGGATTCCACTATGTACGTTGTGACTACTTCTCAGTAATGGCATCTTCCAGACTCCATCTACCTGTCTCTTAGCTTACACTACCAAATGTTTAGCTTCAGCTCTTTTAAATCCCATGTGCTAGGCTACTGCCCTGTAACTTTCTGCAAGAAAACCCTTACCAATTCCTTTTTCCCACCTCACCCAAATACACAAACATACCTGCTTCTTGTTACCACTTCCCTATGACTCCAGTCCTCTAGATTAGAGATTCAGAAAGGTCATCTGAGAAACCCAGGCCTCGACCCCTCAGAACATAGCCTTGTCTCAACTCTACCCTGCCCACACCCCTAGTTCTGGGCCCATTCACTACACAGAGTGAAGTCCCAATCAAAGTCATTCCTGGGTAAGGAATATGACTGAGTTCACCTAAACTGCAACAGAAGTTAACCTTCTTGAAACAGAGCCACTGCGTAAGACCATGGGGTGAAACAAGGCTCTCTACTTTCTTTTCAAATGGCTGGATTGGTAGCAAGAACTAGAGTACAAGAAAAGAAATGTGGGTAGATTTAGGTAGGAGGTAGGGGGATCAAGTTGAGAAAAGTTCAGCTCTTTTAACACGATAAAGAGCATAGGAATGTTTTATAAAAGGTGTCTGGTGTGGCGTTGTGGGATGATGCACTGGACCCAGAAGCCCTATAGAGGGACTCTGAATTGGAGCCCAGCAATGAACAACACCCATAATAAAAGGCGCCCTGGTATCATAGGCATTGGGCATTAGGCTGCTAACCAACCAGAAGGTCAGCAGCTGGAATCTACCAGCCACTCTGTGGGAGAAAAAGGAGGCTTTCTGCTCCTATAAAGATTTACAGCCTCAGAAACACTATGTTGTTGTTGTTGTTAAGTGCCATCGAGTCAGTTCCGACCCATAGCGACCCTGGATAGGGTTTCTGAGGAGCAGCTGGTGAAGCTGAACCGCCAACCTTGCAGTTCAAACGGCTTTGCAGTCTGGCGCATTAACCCACAGTGCCACACCAGAAACACTATACAAGATCACTATAAGTCGGAACCAACTCCATGGCACACCATCACCACCACCCATGAGGAGTCCTGGTGTGGCACTGTATGATAAGCACCAGAAAGCAAAGTTGGTTTGAACCACACCATTGGCAGTTCAAACCCACCAGCCACTCCTAGGTCACTATGAGTTGGAATCCAATTCATGGCATTTAACAACAACCCATATGCCTCAAGTGGTTCCCTTCCCAGTTCCTGTAGATCTTGCCTCGGTGTTGGCCTGTCATCATTCTAACCTCAATCCTGACTACTCTTCAGGCTGTGTCCAGATCTACAGGACAGCTGCTCTGGGCAGCTTCACCACCTAGCTCTATGCCCTCATCTGACTGAGAATTCGAGGTTCTAAAAGAAAGGCCCATCTGTTGTCTGAGCCTCTTGTATGCCTTGTGTTGCTGTATATTAAAGTCTCAGCCCCCAAACTTGCTTGTGGATTCCATGAGGACCTCTTGAGCGTTGCCTTGCTCCATTTTGCACACATGTAGCTAGCTTTACAAAGTTTGAAAACTTTGGTGCTATTATGTAGGGATGAGGTCTGTAAGATGCTCTTGGTGTGAAGTGCTGTTAAGTTGGTTCCAACACATAGTGACCCTGTGTAGAGTTTCCAAGGAGCAGCTAGTGGGTTTGAACAGCTAATCTTACAGTTAGCAGTTTAGTGCTTATCCTACAACACCACACCAATACTCCATGAACTTTTAACAAACCCAAGAAACAGGTCGTACAGTATGACCACCAGACGATCTGGTTGAGGGAAACAGAAGATCCTAGAGCCAGACGGCCAGGATCAAATTCCAGCTTCCCCACTAAAAATGTGACTTTAGGTAAATCACTTAACTTCCTGTGCCTTGGAGCTCTCACCCATAGAATAGAGATAATAGTGCCTATTTCACAGCATATAAAACCACAATACAATGTAATGATATAACAAAGCACCCCAAACAGGCATTTCTGGCTCATACACACATTAACACTAACACTCAGAATGAGAAAACTAGAGACACCCATCAGGTATGTTTTGGTGGCCTTTTGGACACTCAGGGTGAACTGTGCACATGGTGCAACAGAAGGGGTGACTGAAGTGTTCAGGAGGGTGAGTGGGGCACATTTAGGAGACAGATATGTGCCCTGAAGGAGGAAGGTGATGCCAAGAATTGTTGTGTTAAGTGCCATCGCGTCAGTTCTGACTCATAGCGACCCCGGACGGGGTTTCTGAGGAGCAGCTGGTGTTTGAACTACTGACCCTGTGGTCTAGTGCTTAACCTACAACACACCAGGACTCCCAAGAATTAGCAGCTCTAATTTTTGAGTAAAGTATCCCTCCTAATCACCTTACTAAGTTTAATTGCTTTATGAGAAAAGGGAAAAGCTCAGAGCAGTGACTTGGCTACTATGACACAGCTAGTGGACAATAGGACTCTCCAGCCTACAATCCAATGTGGGAGTGGGCTGGAGCAGAGGGGAGGCAGACCCCAAAGAAGTGCTGAGCAGGAGAGGTAGGTCCCCCAAGGGAATTGGTGAGCAGAGATGAGCTGTTAACAGCAAGTTTCCTTGAAAAGGGCATGGGTACAAGTAGGAAGCTGTTTTTTACGCCTGGGGAAAACAGGGCTAAGAAAAGGATGAGGAGGGAATACCTTTCACTAATCTAAGCCCTGCCTGCTCAGACTATCGAATGGGTGGCTGAAACACCCTGCTTTCCATTCCTTCACCACAGGGTGGGTCTGTAATGATAAAACAGGCTGGCTATGTCTGTCCCCTCCCCACTCTTCACAAAAAATCCAGATACAAATTCACTCCAGACACATGGAGTCACTGGGTCTCTGCCCTCCAGCCCAGAAAGTATTTCAGGAATATGTTATTTCAAATAAAGGAAGTGTAAGTTCATCTAGCAGTTTTTGAAAAACTGGACTTAATTTTCTGATCTGGTGGACCATTAAGCCAAATACCCTCAAGCATAGTGGCTTGGCTTGTATTTGGCCCAAAGCAGGGTTGGCTCCAACAATTTTCCTGGAAGTTCCCCTTTTTCCACCCTCCCAAAGGTGTGGTGCTGTAGGACAAACACTGGACTGCTAACCACAATGTTGGTGGTTCAAACCCATCAGCCACACAGCAGAAACCCTCTACAGGGTCACTATGAGTCAGAACTGAGGCGTCAGCAACAACTCTCCCAAAATGCACTTTTCATCTCCCAATTTTCGCCAAAAAGTCAAAACATGTTCCAAAACAAACAAAAAACAAATTTATTCAGCACATTTTAATTAAGAAATCCTATGAATCAGGACCACCACAGTTCAGACACTCCGTTGCGAAGTGTACATCAATAGCTACATCTGGAGGATGAACAAGCCATTGAATCTTTAAGAAAAAACAACAATAAAGGTTTAGCTACCTTAAAGTTTGGGGTTGGCACCCTTTGAAAGCGCCTCAAGTTTCACAACAACAGTGAAGCCAGCAGTTTCTCCTCTCTGGAGAGTCACTTTTAAAAATGCTTTCAGTCACTTGCAAAGAAGAGCTTGCAGGGCAAAAGGAAACGGTGCCCAGTAAGGAAGCACAGGCCCAGAGCTGAGCAGAAAAAAAGTCCAGGGTCTCTCATCCACCCTCTATACAGTCCCGGGCAATGGTAAGATAAGAAAGGAGGAGGGCAAGGAGAACAAGTGAGAGACTCAAAAGAGATTATCACGGTTTTCTCCCAGGAGGAGGAGTGCTGGAAAGAAGCACAGCAAAAAAACAACAACAAACAAACACGACAACTCTACCCACACCCGTAGCTCTCCGTGCCTGGGTCGTCCTCAGGAGACTCCAAGCGTAGCAAAGCTAAGAGGGCCCATAGAGCCAGAGAACAAGACTGCGGGGAGAGAGTTAGCTCTTCCAGGAGCCTTCCAGATATTGCAAGTCGTGACCTTGACCCAGAGGTGGCAAGGTCAAGTCATTTAATAGTCCACATTCAACTCCAACTGCTTCCACCTTCAAGTCTCCACCTCCCTCCCACCCCCTGACTCTCTAGAATTAACTCTCTAACCAAAACAGATTAAGTGGGGAAAAGGTGATGCCAACCCACCCACCAGGCTTTTACATTCTTCTCTCCGAATTCCTTAGCACAACAATTATAGCACCATTTTCACTAAACTCCTTCACTGGAAAATGTATGCATGTCACTAGTTTTCAAGTATTGTTAAAAGCCCTCAGGTTTCCCGCCCCTTGAAGCCCAATTTTTAAACAATCCAAGCACGCATCGCCCCCAGGGGCTAAATCAGGTACAACAGGATTCAATAGCTGCCATAGTTCTCCGTTTGTGCCAGGTCCTTGGCCCTGGAATGGCCCGGGCAATTTTCACTCAGTACTGCACGCTCTCGCCCATAAATTTCTCCACTTTTTAAAGTATTCTCCAACTTCCTTGGAAGGCCGGTAACTTCTGGCTTGGAGGTCTCTCCCCAAGTGCCTCCCTGCAGACTAGGAGATCGCTCTAAGAATGGCACCCACGGCTTCAGCTCAGGGTTAATGAGGGGTAGGACATCGTGGGGTCTGCTCAGCGGCCTCGTACTCCTCCAGAGGACCCGGGTCAGTGCATGGCACCCGAAGGCTGCAGGGAGATGGGATCCGGTCCGCTGAGGCTACCCCCGGGTCCAGGGGCGCCCGCTGGGCCTGTGGCTGCAACAGCAGCGGCCGCAGCTACGGCTCGCTGGAGCCTCCGCACAGCCTCTTTGATGAGGTTCCCCGAGAGAACAAGCTGCTGTAGGAGCCGGTCATCGTGAGGGTCGTCGTCGCCGGTCCGTGTCCCGGCCTGGGGCCAGCGTCGCTGTTGTAGGCGGCTGGAAGGCGCGGTACCCCGGAGCCATCCTCGCCGGCACGACCCCGGCAATGCGTTGGGGCCCGCGGTGAACTCCGCCACGCAGTAGGGAGCAGCTCGGTCCCGCACGCGGCCGCGGTCCCCAAGGGTGCAGCGCAAGGCTCCCGGGCCCGCTGTCTCGACCGACGCTGGCGCGGGCGACAAAAGCAAAGGCAAAGCCACGGCCCGGGCCTTGTCCGCCGGCACCGCCGCCGGGGGCCGCGGGGGCTGCAGGGACGGCCCCGGAGGCGCACACTGAGAGGCCGGGCTGTCCTGCGCCGCGTCCAGCTGCAACGCCTCGCCGATCTGGGCCACCAGCCGGTCCACCTCTCCCGATCCGCCCAGCGTCACCGACTGCTCTAACAGGAGGAAGCTATCATCCTCCTCTTCTTCCCCCTCCGCTTCCTCTTCCTCCTCCCTCCGGCACGGCATGGCCCCCTGCACGGGTACCCGAAGCTCTGATGGCGTCGCTGGAGGCTCTGTTCCTCTCCGGGGTCGGTGGGCCGCGGCAGAGTGGGGAGCGATTCCGAGGCAGAAGCCAGGACCGGAGTCGACGCGGAGGACGAAGCTCGCCAGGCGTTCGAGTCTCTGCCTCCGGAGCCGGAATCCTACCGGCTCGGATAGATTTGTAAACAATGGGTGACGTAGCGCCGGGCCTTACCACCGCGCTAAGGCGGGGAGGAGCCCTCAAAGCGGCGCCAAAGTGCAAGGCAACCAGGGCAACGCGAGGTGGTGGCCGGAGCCTCCCCGTCTCTAACCTCGAAATTTGCCTATGAAGGAATCCCAAGAGTGGGAGAGCGCTCGTATTCCACCGCCCTTAGGAGCAGAAGAAGAAAATGGAGACTCTGAGGTGCCTGGGTTGGTTTCTCCCACTCACTGACACACCCACAACGAACCCTCCTCGTCGGACGCTTCCTCCCTCCCCACGTGTCAGCCGGACGCCGGGCTCCTCCCCCAGCAACCGTCAGTCTCCCGGGCTGGGCGTGTAGGGGGAGGGGCGGCCCCTGCCTGAGGGTCTCCCTATGGAGAGGTGGGGGCGGAAGAGAAGGTGGACTCCATGGATGAAGAGAAACATTGAGACCAATCGACCTAATAGTGTAGGGATTCCTGAGCCAAACCCTTCCTCCCAATTCTCAAGCCTCTACTTTGCGTGAAAAAGATTCACTGCATCGCTGAAAGAATTGATTTCGTTCATTTAAAGGAGAAATAAAAGGTTCATATAGAAATGTTCATTGCCGTGGAGTGGGTGGAAAAACCTTTTGAACATAAGACTCAAATATGGTTTATAAAAGTAAGTTATACAAACACACACACCAATTTTATATACGTTTCACTTCGCATTGCATCATAAACGTTTTTCGTGTTATTGCATGTGCTTTGAAAACATTTAATGATTGCCTAAGTTTCCATTAAGTGGCTGTACCATAAATTACTAAACAACTCCTTTAACGTTCTTCATTTGTCTCAAGTCTCCAATGCAAATAAAGTGTATGACATTTTTGTGCATAAACCTTTTTGCATATTGATGATTCTTTCCTTAGAACATATTTCCAGAAGTGGGATTTTACTGCTGTTTAGTGCCCTTGACTCGGTTCTGACTCAGGGATCGGGTGAGTTGAACCGCCAACCTTGTGGTTCACAGTCCAGTGCTTAGCCACACCAGAAGTGGAGTTTTACATAGTTTTCTGATTTAATAGGTGAAATTGCTATCTCAGTTTCTATCTTTGATTTTAGAACAGTCTTGTAAACGTTTGTTAACCAACTGAACCTCCCTTTTTTTGTTGTTTGATTCTGTCACTATCCTACCAAGTTTTTCATGTGTATTTGACCTACCTCTCTACTTACCTGAGTTTAAGCCTCTTCTTTCATATTTTGCTTAAAATATTTCTTCAAGATTTTTGTTTGCCCTGTAGTCTTTTTTCCTCCCAAGTAAAAACAAATTTTAATGTCAAATCTATAAAACTCCTTCCTTTGAGACTTTTAACAAGATGCTAAATCTAGACTCCAGACAGTTATTAAATATTCAGTTCTATTTTCCTTAGATTTTTCTAATACCTTGATTCTTCCACATCCATCTGGGGTTAATTTTGGTCTTTGGTGTAAGGAAACAATATGATTTTTTTTTTTTTTTTTTTAAAGACAGCTGGACAGACAGAGTTGTATTTCATCAGGATGGAGATGTGAGGTTAATATAAACACAAACTCTGCTCAGCTGCTAGTTAAACTGATGGTTGTGAGGACTGGCTGGGAATATTTTGATCAGGCTGTTATATGGAGTAAAAATTAAGAACCTTCAACAGGTTGTCCAAAGACTAGAGTCAATCTTCTTCTACCTGCCACATCCTGGGCGTGTGTGGTTCCTGGCAAATCAGCTTACAAGTGTTTTCACTTATAAAATGGAAAAAATAATCCCTGCCCTGCCTTCCTCTGAGGATTGTTTTCAGGATCAAATGAAATAATGGGAAAGGGCTTTTGTCAAGCATTACACAAATGTAGTGTGGGAATAGGTCCAATGGTTTATACTCACAGAGGCCTGGCTCACCTCCAGTGATTCCCTATGGAAACAGCTACTATATGAAGGATGAAGGTTTCCCCTTGCAGCCCACTAACTAAAACATACCTTGAAGGCATTACTTCCTTGGACTGGCCAGTTCCCTTGAATTCTACTCTATGTTTGTCCTGACCTGGGATTGTTTAGGGCCTTCCAGCAGTCAGCTCAGAGACTGCTAAATCCCAAGGTGTGTCACCACAACTAGTTCAGCAGGTTATGGTGATGGATTCTTTCCCAACAGGCTGTCAGTCCTTCCTCCTCTGTCTTCTTGGAGAGCGGGTCACACACTTTTCTCATGAAGGTAGAAAGCCATTCCTCCAGAGAAAGGTTTTTTTTTCATTTGCATTCTGATGGTACTTTCTGAAGAATTTCAAAGGGAATGAAAATTAGGGGAGGGTTTATGGATATCAGTAGAGTTCAAATGGTAAAATTTCCCCCCTCTCTGTAGTTTTATGCTTCATTGTACTTTAAACGTTAATGAGACTAGTATAGCCTACTGTCTTTAAGCCAGCATCCCTGCAAGGTGTTTCTTCTGTCAGGGTAATTCTGATGGTGGATGATGTTCTTAGTACTGTAGGAAATGATCCTGGAGATGGTATTCTTTTTTAAAAAAGAAAATATTCCCTTTGTAATGAAGCTTTTGTGTGAAGATTGTTACATAAATATGCTGGGACTTCTTGGGGGTTATATTCTTCATTATAGAGATGGATTCATTACAGAAGACCAATTTTATTTTCTGGAGACACTTCTTTGGGGAGCTCTGGGAGTAAAGTGTTGTACTGGACCAGAAGGGGGCAGAGAAATGTCCAGGGTTAGGATGCAAAATGCAAGATGCTGGTAGTGTAGTGGTTACGAGTCCAGCTGCTAACCTCAAGATCAGCAAATTGAAACTAACAGCCTTTCCGTGGGAGAAAGATGAGGCTTTCTGCTCCCATAAAGATTTACAGCCTCGGAAACCCTATACAGGGTCGCTGTGAGTCAGAACTGACTCCAAGGTACATAATCACCACCAGAGAGGCTCAGACGCAATTAAAAGTAA